CCTGAAAGCTGAAGGGTCAATCACCTGAAAGCTGAATAAATAAGCTTTCCATTGATTTATGGTTTGATGGGATAGGACAATATTTGGCCGAAATACAGCTATTTGAAAATCTGGAATCTGAGGGTGCAAACAAATCTAAATATTGAGAAAATCGCCTTTAAAGCTGTCCAAATGAAGTTCTTAGCAATGCATATTACTAATCAAAAATTAATTTTTTATATATTTACAGTAGGAAATTTACAAAATATCTTCATGGAACATGATCTTTACTTAATATCCTAATGATTTTTGGCATAAAAGAAAAATCTATAATTTTGACCCATACAATGTATTTTTGGCCATTGCTACAAATATACCCCAGCGACTCAAGACTGGTTTTGTGCTCCAGGGTCACATATCAGGGTGCTCCTACAGGGACTTTCAAGGGGTTGATTTTTTATTTATTTATTTTATTTTTGATATATGAAGGTCACATTATGACTTGAAATCTTCTACCATCATGTACTATTATGTGTGTGTATACACAGTATTTTAATTAATTTTTATTTTTATATTTGCAATTTTCAATTTAATTGAATTTTGTCATTTTGTTTTGTGTTTGCATTTTATAATTTATATATATAAGCAATATAGTTTTTATTAATTTTTATTTCAGTTTTAGATTGTTATTTTAGTACATCAAGTTAAACTAAATGACAATGAGAAATGTTGATTGTGGTGCAAATTGCTGAGGGGTAATCATCATCTGTGTAAAAAATAGCATAAATAATTTTCACCAGGATTATAATACTTAAAGGGGTCATATGATGCGATTTCAATTTTTCCTTTCTCTTTGGAGTGTTACAAGCTCTTGGTGCATAAAGAAGATCTGTAAAGTTGCAAAGAGTTGTAAAGTCTCAAATCCAAAGAGATATTCTTTATAAAAGTTAAGAGTCAGCAACACCTACCTAAAACAGCTCGTTCTAACACTGTCACTGTGTGGAAAGATTTGCATAAAGCTGCCCAAATGTTCACGCAAAGAAAGAAGGTGTAACTTTTATTCTCGCTGTAGTATTGTTGTTGCCGCCACCGCCATGTCGTGAAGGCGCTGTGTGTTTCGTTGTGAAAGCGAAACTACTTTGTTTGGCCTTCCAAAAGAGGACGATATCCACTTCGTCATGCCTGGAGCTGATCCGTGCTGGTCGCTGAGGAAATACATCAACTTCGTGCACCAAATACACAAAATAATGTTATTTTTAGCAACATCATATGACCCCTTTAACTAAAACAAAAATCATAAAACATTTTCATTATTTTAAATAATATAGCCATGAACTGAAATAAAATGTTTAAGATTTTTTAAAATGTTTTTTTTTATTAACATTTATTTTAAGTAACAAAAATGCTTTTTATGGTTTTAGTTGTAGTATAGTACATATTATATTAACTACAAATATATATTTTTCATAATAAAAGTTAACTGAAATAAATAAGGTTTTTAAAATAGTTTATCTTAATTCAACTAACATTTATTTTAAGTAACTAAAATGTTTTTATGGTTTTAGTTTTAGTTAAATATAACAACCCTGGTGACATTTATTTATTTTTTTATTTTTTATGCAAATTATGATTATCCCTTTATCAGTTTTTTTGAAATTGAAGGGGGTCTGAATACTTTCTGTACCCACTGTACATTAAAAACCTGTTAATTGGTTAACTGTAACTTACCATATACGTGAATAATTGTACATGGTTGAACGATATATGTAATATTACTGTAAAACACTGGCAAATGTATGTTTTTTAAGCAAAAATTATGAATTAACAATTTAAAAGGACCTTCCCAAAAGTTCTTGTGTGACATCACATACTGTATGTTTTTTTTTATTCGTTTTGTTTCTTATTTTTGTTTTCAGCAATGAACAATAGGATGTTTTGTGTCACATTTCATGTTATTTAGTTAATGTTTATTGCATTATTTTAGTTTCATGTTTGTTACAATGATGGTGTTTTGTCTTTGTATGACCTTGTGCATCGTCTATTTTAGTGTTGTTTTATAGGCAGGCCAATGAACTTCAAACCATCTTTATTATGGTGGTTATCAGTACATTTTAAAGTAGATTGCTATATTAACACTATATCACTTAATGAAATACAAGTTAAAATATACAGGCACCAATATGCCATCCACAATACCTGAAACATTGTCACTGTATTTTTTGTGTGAATTTCTAGCAACCACAACCATTTTTTTTAAACATAAAGGTAACATGACATTTTTAAAGAGTAGGAGGAATTTGATGAGAAGTGTGAAATATCTCTTGAAAGATCCAACTTTGATCGCAGACTATAGAATCTTGGCTAATATAAAGCAAATGAATAGTTTTTCCGCTGTTAAATTACCTTATGAATCTGTGAATTTGTGGAGGGACTATCTGTTTGTCCAACCAGTTGAAGAAAAAAAACATGATTTTTTACATGGCAGATAACTGCTGTCTAAAGGTGTGTTCACATTTGCTACTGTTCAGCGAATTTTTGCGGGCTTGGTGAAATGATCTGGAATTTTGCGTGAAGATGCTGATTTCACACCAGGTTCAGCTGGTCACATGAATTTGCAGTGTTGACCAACAGAACACTGCTTGATTTGAACGTGATTTCTGTGTGAACTGTGCTTTATCACTACACTATTGACAACAGACAATGGACCTTTTTTTTGCCCTCTGTGAAATTTTGCTAATGTGACCACAAATGAGAAACAGTTGAGATATTACAACAGTATCATCGAGGATCAACTCTTGAGCTAAATCTGGACAACTGTGGTTGCTCTTTCACTGCAAACCAATATTTACAATTATGTAAAGTCAATGCAAAGGCTCAAATGCCTGTTTTCCATCTGAACCGCATATGTGTATGTGTGTGTGTGTGTGTGGAGGGAAAAAAGAGGGACATGTGTCTTCATTTCCCTTTACGCCTGACGGCATGTCAAGTCACAAAGATATCAATTCCCAATGCCACACAGATCCAAAGCCCCATGTACTCTCTGTTATACAGACAAATTCACGTATTGGAGCCTTTCCAGTCCCTAAAAAGCTAACATACACATCCTCTCTGTTGTAGACACACACGCACGCAAACAAATGTCCCTGTCCTCTGCCTGCACACACTGTGCTATTTCGGTGGCGCTAATAGCAGTGTAGCACACCTCTCCCACCGAGGCACTGCTCTGTCACAGGCTGCAGTGTATTGATCTGCTGCTGGCTATAAATGAGACACTGTGGTGGCATCCAGCCAGGGTATTGATCTGCCACCCAAACCAGTCTCAACTGACTTCTATTAGTGCTTCCGCTTTTCAGTTACAAAGTGCACACACAGGAAATGCAATTGATCTAGAGGAAGAGGTCACCAGAAGTCATATTTAACTTACACAACCCCCCATCAAGCTTTGCAATGTGACAAAATAAATGCACATTTAAATCTGTAGCATTTATCTTTACTTCTAAGGCTGCTATTGAAATGGTTCTTATAAATAATAAGAATGTGATATTTCTATTTTAATTTAAAAAGAAAAAAAATGTATATTTTTTTACTTATTAAAAAAAATGGTTATATAATATATTTATAAAAAGAATTAAATCATAATATTTAATTATTGTAAATAATAAATTACGATATTGTATAAATAATATTATATAACTTGAAATTATATAAAGTTACTGCCGATGAATGGCGTGTTTGTGACAAATGAATAGCTTTGACATCAGTAGTTCATTGTGCTACGATGACATCTTGTGATGAACGGCACGTACGACACCTCATTATATGGAACTGAAACTGACAACACAGACTTTTATTTTGGTGAGACCACTTGCATATAAAACTGCCATGTCATGACATAAAAACTACATTTTAAATATACAAAAATGTTTCATCTTCTTAGACAGTTTATAATGACAAACAAAAAAACAACTGTTTGAATGATTATCCTTCTGTAATATAATTAACAACAAAACAAATACAAAATAAGTATTCATTCTGATATGCATATGTTATATAAATAACAAAAATAAAAATAACAGTAAAAACAAAAATATTTATACAATATAATTATCAGTCCTTAAGTTGATACTACTGTTTATGATTGATCTATTATTAGTTGCATTTAAAACAAAGTATTTTATTTCTAAATGTGCATTTTTATATAAAGGCCACTTTTTGGGGGAAAATAAAGTTGTTTTACTCTAAATTGAAAGTAGTAAAATAGTTCATACTAAAAGAAAAATATTAAAAATAGCAAACATGAATTTGAGCAGAATATCTATATCAGAATGCATAAGCCTTACAGATGACATCAGAAAGTGCTTACTAATAAGGTCATCCATTTTTACTTGCATCCTTTATCCTTTTCCTCTTTTTTCCCCCCAGTAAACTTGGGCAAAGTGTTTTAGAATATGTGCCACAGTTCAAGTTACAAAGTAGAGGGCAAAAGCTGCCCGAGTCATAAGAAGCTGTATATGTAGAGTTCAATTCATATAACCTTGGTTCACTGTGAACACAAAGGCATCTAAAGCAGCTCACTGCATTTCTTTTTCTAGAATCTATAGAATCTGAATGTGTTAAAGCCTATGAGAGTGAATTTTGTTGTACCCACAATAAATTGATGTTGACATTTGAGAACTTTGCGAAAGAGTTTCATGAAAACAGGCATTTGTTACTGCAGTGGCATCAGTTTTAGGTTTCATTTTAAGGTTTCATCAGTCCTTCAGATCAGTGTATCAAAAGATATATTCCATCAAATTTCAAGCTCCATGATTAATTATTTTAAAGTTTAAATAACGGAGAAAAAACAAAATCTTGTCACTGCTCTCTTATTAAATCATCATATATTTTACATTTCTTTACTTGAAGAAAAATATGAATAAAATCTCTTAATCTTTTTACATAAAAAACAACTGTAAAATAATCAAATAAATACATGTAAAAAAACGTTATTCAATTATGCAATAAAAAAAACAGACTTTCATCAATATTAATGCCATATTGAAATTCTGGGACCTTTTTGGTGTTTGTTCTTTTCAGCATTAATCTCAAATACAATAAACAGAATATGAATACTAATAAAACATAAAATTATAGTTTTTACAGTTTAAGCAAAGCTATTTTGTACTTCTAATGAGTAAACATACCAAGAACACACACTAGCAGGCGTCTAAGCAGCAGTGAACAGCGCAATGGACTCGGCCGATGGTTTCTCGGAAACAGACTCCAGATCTACAGTTGGGGTTATGGACTTTTTCAACCTCTGCATCAGAGACAGATAGAGAGGCACTGGGTTCATTTTGACATGGAGAAACAAAACAAATATTGATATAGTGAATGTTTGTGCACTGTACATACCTGCAGCAGAGACCCTTCTGTGGTCCAAAGCTCATGTACAGCCCCAAGTGGAATCCAGATGATGGAGATGAGAGAGATGAACCAGCCCACCACCTCTGCCCAGAACGGGTATGTGTAGGACTTCCCGTATCGAGCTGGAGTGTACTGAAAAATACTGGAGATCAGAATACCCTGCAGAGAGAGCCAGGAAAGAGGACATTATTATTCATTCAAAACAAAGCATTATACCCCATCTGAACTTTCTGCACTTGAACAGACACAAACCAGGCTCTACTCTATTACTATTAATAAATGTATTTTCAATGTTAAGATTTTAAAGATTTGAATGTCCTCAAATTGTTAAAAAAAAATAAATAAAAAAGTGAATTTAAGGTAACGCAAGGGCATTTAGGATGCCCATATCCTATGTATAAGGATGTGTGCACAATACAATCTGACAAAAAGTAGTTTTGTCATTGATTTTATTTCAGTTTACTGCTACTTAATGTAAAAATGGTCTTATGGGGGGGGTGGGGGTGGGGGGGGGACACACAGTTGTCAATGTTATAGAGGATCCCAAAATGTATGTACGTTTTTCTTTTCCTCACCAGCACAAGCATGGGTGACAGGAACTGCCAACAAACACGGAAGAAGAGGTTTGGTTTCTTTCCCAGCATATTCTCCACCATTACACTGAGCCGTCTCACTCCTGCGTATGTGTGAGAGAGCAAGAAAGAGGTGAGATAAAAGCATAAACCTTCATATCTCAATAGGAGCAGTGGTACAATGGTTACATCTGATTTTCTATGATCTTGAAGTGCAGACTGAAGGAAGTGAAACTTACCAAATATGAGAGTGATGGCGAGCACCTCGAAGAAGGCCAGAAACATTAGAGACACCACAGCTGTGTAGTGATCCATCAGCTGAAACACATATATCCCACCCTGCACACACACAGTATTATTTCATTAGCATCAAAATGAGGGTTAGGTTTTCGTGTCCATATTCAAAACAATGGCTATACAGCAGATATTTTAAATGGTGCTTGTATTTTTTATTTTTTTTTGGCCTTTAAGTTTCCCAAAAATAATATTACATATTTTTTAAGTATGGAAGAATTAAGATGTGTTTTTACAATGTCTTTAATGGTGTCTAAACTTCATTAGCAAAAACATCAGTTGCTAAGTTTGATTCAATTCAGTGAATCAGTTCAAACCGTACATTTCAAAGAACTGAATTAAAACTCGGATTCATTTGCTTCATTATATATGCTCACTGTAGGTCACAGACAACATTTTTTACATATTAAAATTAGTTAGTAAAACGTATGTAGAAATATAGATTTTGTCTTCTTTTTTACATGTATTGTTAAACTGGTCCAAATTAAAAACGGAATATAATTTTCCTTCCTTCTGTTCTTTTTGTAAAAAAAACTTGACTTTATTTAAACATACTTACTGAATTTTATTTGTTGAATTTATTTATAAGCTCTAAAATGGTTACATTTCAAAATAAATTGAATATAGTTTTAAAAAGATGCATTAGATATCAATATATTTTTTCTTCTCAAACTAAAATTATGTTCCAAGTGTCAAGTGTAAACAGTTCCAGGTGCAGTCGTAAATCCAACTGATCCAAGTATAACAAAATCTCAACTGTAAGAACACAACACTTGTTAATGAAGTGAAACTAGATCATATTTACCCTGGTAATATGAGGAATCCCCAGCAGAAAGCCAAGTTTTTCTTTTCCTCACCAGCACAAGCATGGGTGACAGGAACTGCCAACAAACACGGAAGAAGAGGTTTGGTTTCTTTCCCAGCATATTCTCCACCATTACACTGAGCCGTCTCACTCCTGCGTATGTGTGAGAGAGCAAGAAAGAGGTGAGATAAAAGCATAAACCTTCATATCTCAATAGGAGCAGTGGTACAATGGTTACATCTGATTTTCTATGATCTTGAAGTGCAGACTGAAGGAAGTGAAACTTACCAAATATGAGAGTGATGGCGAGCACCTCGAAGAAGGCCAGAAACATTAGAGACACCACAGCTGTGTAGTGATCCATCAGCTGAAACACATATATCCCACCCTGCACACACACAGTATTATTTCATTAGCATCAAAATGAGGGTTAGGTTTTCGTGTCCATATTCAAAACAATGGCTATACAGCAGATATTTTAAATGGTGCTTGTATTTTTTATTTTTTTTTGGCCTTTAAGTTTCCCAAAAATAATATTACATATTTTTTAAGTATGGAAGAATTAAGATGTGTTTTTACAATGTCTTTAATGGTGTCTAAACTTCATTAGCAAAAACATCAGTTGCTAAGTTTGATTCAATTCAGTGAATCAGTTCAAACCGTACATTTCAAAGAACTGAATTAAAACTCGGATTCATTTGCTTCATTATATATGCTCACTGTAGGTCACAGACAACATTTTTTACATATTAAAATTAGTTAGTAAAACGTATGTAGAAATATAGATTTTGTCTTCTTTTTTACATGTATTGTTAAACTGGTCCAAATTAAAAACGGAATATAATTTTCCTTCCTTCTGTTCTTTTTGTAAAAAAAACTTGACTTTATTTAAACATACTTACTGAATTTTATTTGTTGAATTTATTTATAAGCTCTAAAATGGTTACATTTCAAAATAAATTGAATATAGTTTTAAAAAGATGCATTAGATATCAATATATTTTTTCTTCTCAAACTAAAATTATGTTCCAAGTGTCAAGTGTAAACAGTTCCAGGTGCAGTCGTAAATCCAACTGATCCAAGTATAACAAAATCTCAACTGTAAGAACACAACACTTGTTAATGAAGTGAAACTAGATCATATTTACCCTGGTAATATGAGGAATCCCCAGCAGAAAGCCAAGGCTGCACACCGCCAGAACAATCAGCTCCTTTCTCTTAAAAACTTGCAAAACCTTCTTGCCAAAACCGTCCATGATGAACGTTACAGCCACCTCCACCATGGCAAACTGCACAGTGCACATGTACACATATAACAGGTCAAAATGCACAAACACATGATTATAGCTCTGTTGAAAAACCTGCTGAGTTGGGCCCTTCCCTCATTCGGATCACCTTTCCACACACAAGAATTAGACGTTTTCATGTATTATCCCGCTCCATCTAAACACATGGGGCATGGATTTTCCAACTGCGCTCTTGTTTCTCATTTGCTAGCAAGGTGTTGACACTGTGTGCAATGAAGAAACAGCTTTTCACAGCTTAAAGAGAATATAAGAATCCTGTGTAATCTTGGTCCTTAAATCTCTGAATTATGATTTTTGGCAGTTCAGAAACATAGCAATAAAAGCAGATGACAAATTTAATCCTTTTTTAAAACAAACAAATTTGCCATCTGTGGCCTACCAAACTTCACCAAGGCAGCATTAGGTTTATACTTTGCACAGAAGACAATTGCAGAATGCACTGTGACAAAACTGATTCAATATGAATGCAAAGAATTGTCAATTATTAATATATTTACATATGCTGAGAAAAGCAGTGAGATCCACTGCAAAGGTTAAAGATGTCAGTTTAGCACTTGTTGACAGAGAAAACAAGAGCATATCTTGTTTGAATGGCTTCTTAGAGAGTAGCTGCCTGCTTTATGTGGGTATTAGACAGAAAGGAAGCTTACTCGGGATTGAAATTATGTTTTGAAGCCTGTTCTACCTGACTGTCTAATCCAAGGCAGAGTAACATGATGAAAAACAGAGGAGCCCAAAGCTGAGAAACTGGCATAGTGGAGAAAACTTCAGGATACACCACAAACACCAGACCAGGCCCTGCAAGAAAACAGACACAGACACACACAGACACACACACACACACAGACACACACACACACACACACTTTTAGAGAATCTAACCGTTTTCAGATCGCAGTAAGAGCTTAGTACTAAGAGATAATAAGAGATTAGTAATAAGAGAAAAGAGATTACGCTTAACACATTTTAGCATGTTTAAATCAATTTATATTCTGCACTTTTTCCCCCAAATCAGTGCAGAAATTGATAAAAAGTGCAGATTATAGATTCCTATAGTACTCAAAACCCAAAATAAGACAGGAAGAGAAGGAGACTAAAAAGAATCAGAAAAGTAGCTGGGGAAACCGGAGAAAATTATTTTTGATTTTTAAGAGACTCTCCAAAGGAGAGAGAACAGAGAGTGAAGAAATGAATGTGACAAAGACATTAAACTATTTGCTATGATGAGAAATACTCCGTAAAGCCACTGAACAACACTACTATAATTGCATGTCTCAGAGGAAAACATCTGCCTGCAAGAGAAAGTCAAGATGAAAGATGACTGGGTGAAATTTAGCTGATAAGGTGACCATAGTTGAGGCAGGGGTATTTCTTTTGAGGAAGTGCCTCCTCAAAAAATAAATAAATAAATATAATATCAAAATATGATATCAAACAGTGTGTGTGAACTCATTTTTCTTAAGTATAACATTATCCAACATCAGCACTCTGTGTTCTCCTTGAGGTCTTAATGGGTTAAACTTGTGGAAACTGATGAACTTGAATGTTTTAATAAACAGTGCTGTAATATAAACACAAAAATATTATGATATTGTAAACTGCTGTGAAGTACTCTTGAGGGCAGCTCGACTCAAGGACATGCTTTTATCAGTTTTTTGTTTTCACACTGTTCTACTCAGTCTACCTTCATCCGATTCTTCCTGATTCTGTTTCTTCCATGAATAGTCCCTTTTATTCTTTTTTTTTGGCATAATCCTACCCACCCTTCACCTCCTCTCTCTGGTGGTAAAGAAGGAGAACTTTTCATTTATTATCCTGCTTCATCTCAACTTGATGTTAATCGCCAACCTCATGTAGAGTGCATTAGATTTCCCAACGATCACAAGAGCACAACAGCAAAGAGCACATAAAAAAGATAACAGAGATTCTTTGTGATCCTCTGGTCCTTAAAACTAAATTGTGATTCTTGGCTGTACAGAGACACAGCAATAAAACCAGACAGTAAAATTGGTTCAACCAGACCAAGCGATTAAGTTTATTTCCTGCTTGTGAACAAACCTTGAAACACACAAGGACAGGGGAGGACTAGATTCACAGCTGCAGAAACTGATATTACAGAGAAAAGGAAAACAAACTCACCATCAGTGGCAATGTCATCTATAGGCAGGTTGTGAATGTGGGCCATGTACCCAATGGCAGAGAAAATAACAAACCCGGCCACGATACTAGTGGCTGAATTAGCTAGAGAGACGATAAATGTGTCCCTGTAAAATAAAAGGTGAAGAGTGATGAGGAGAAAGAATCATGTTTTCCTGAAAGATAACAGACCCTTGTAACGACTGGACCAAGCAGACACACAATCATTTGTTATCAAATAATCTTTAAAACCCACTCTGTGAGTTCCATGGACCATGCCCTGAAGTGAAACGATCACTCCAAGAGGGCTCAGTTACCAGGGCTACAATCTGATAAGACTGTGTTATTGATCGAAAGTATGTGGAAAGGTGCTATGTGCAAGGGAACAGAACCTATGTAATCTTATGTTCTTTTATAGTGTTTTGCTTATATATTAAACCTTGAATGAATGTTTTAGTATTACTTAATTAACCACGATCACACATATGCCATGCTTAGTATCTATGAGCTCCACATTACGTTTCCTATTTGTTCTTTTACATTACATTTTGCTAACTTTGTGACACATTAGTATTATAAGAATCTTTGAAGATTCTCCTCTTGACCAGCCAATCCAGTTTCATTTGCAAAACACCCTGCTAGATGACAAAGGATCGTAAAATTTCCCTCCAAAGGTACTATTCCTCATTGGCTCACTCAAATCCTGACGGTGTGTATGATGACTGTGTGTGTTATAAATGTTTGCTAGGTAAGTTGATTGTTTATTTATGTATTGGTTTTGATGCGTTTTCTTTTCCATTTTTCTCTTCCTTTGTAAATTTGTATTTATCTTTGTATGTTTTTTTTGTTGCTAATTTGTCTAAATAGTTATGCTCTAAGTTAGGTAGTTTAGGTTGTCTTCTTTATGCGCGCTAAAGGAGGACAGATAGCTCCTAATTATTATTCCCTATTCGCTGGAGTGCACGCTGGTGAATGGAAGGTGTAACAACGAGCAGAGACAAATTATGTTGTTCGTTATTTATATGAATTGTTATAGAGTATAAATGATTTATGGATGGTATTATTTTTATTTTTTCTGTTCTAAATGAGATGTGAATTTGTTTAATTTAGGTAGTTAAGTTATTTGAATGTATTTGTGTGTGAGTGACCCCTCGGTCATTTGTTAATGGTACGGTCCCGGTAATATAAGGGCTGGGTTTGGTTTGTTAGGGGCTCCATATTTTCTTTTCTTTATTTGTGTAGTTTTTTTTTTCTTTATATATGGCCAAGTGTATGTTAAAAAAAAAAAAAAAAAGAAAAAAAGAATGGGAAAACTATAAAGAACTGAATGTTTGCAAATCATGTAAATCATGCTTCCTGCATTTATTGGACGAACCCTGACAGTGTGACATCCTCACACGGTTTTTAGATTCGGAGAAGATGAGGATGCTGAGCTAGAAGTCTTCTAAGGAACCCTAAGTTTGTGCCAGGCTGCGGCCTTGTCTTTCCATTCACCAAAGGTCCTCAGACTTCAGCTGGTTCTCTCTCATCAAGACAAAATCAGCCAAGATCAACTGGAGCCTCAACAAACTGCATCAGGACACTTTTATTCAAATGGACAACACATGCAAGTATCAAACTTAGTCTCATTGTTTGATCCATTAAGTATTCCCACCCCTTTTAAAGAAGAAATTAACTAAGAACTAAGAAATGATTTGATGGTTTGCTCAAGGCTGTTGATCTGCTCAATCTCAAACAATACTATAACTTCTTGCATTCCTGTACTCTGCTTAAGTTCTCTTATATGTGTGTGTGTGTTAGAATAGTTTTAATAAGTATTTAGTGTAGTTAATAAAGTGTTGTTTGTATCACACTCAAGACTGTTTGTCGTTTTGCTCATAACTGGAGTCCCTAATCATGTAGATTTTGGCTACATGCTCCGAGTATTATTGTACAATAAGGACGTTATTTCCCATACCTCGGGAATACATTTCTTAGAATTAATAAACAATTAACACCAGGTGTTTGCTGGGCGAACAGATTTGCTGATTGTAATATTAACTCCATTAGCTGATCCAAATATTTATAATTAATTATAACAAGTTATGATTAATTATTAATATTTGCCTTTTGACCTAATGTGCTACACCTAGTTCTGATCAGTGTAATAAACTTCAAAGCAAATAAAAAGCAAGGTTACAGTTTGAAAGCTACAAAAGTACATTTTTCAAACACAGTTTTTTTTATTTACTTAGATACATTTATTTGAATTAAATAAGCTTTTAAAATGTAAAATCAGCACCTGGGACAAAACCAACCAATACCCCTAACATGTATCTTTAAAAACCTTCACTGCTATATTGCTTACCTGAGGATGTTGTTGTTGAACTTGTTGTAACTGGCCATAGATATCATAGAACCAAAGGAAATGCCAATCGAGTTGAAGACCTGAGCAGCAGCATTGACCCACACCTACAACATAAGATTAACAAAGACAAACAAGCGCAAGGTTTTATTTTTGTCCTTTGTCCATATATTGTTAACATAAACAGTTATCTAAAGTTTTGAGTTTTAATGAAACATTAACAGGAATCATGTCATGTTTGTTTTATTATATGGAATTACTAGGACTCTCAATTGATCTAAATATTTAATAGCAATTTAATTCCAACATTTCTGTAGTTAACCTTTTTATGAAAAAACAAAAAACAAAATGTGCAATTATTGGGTTTGGCAATTTGTATAAGCATTTATACAAGCAACATAAATAGAAACAGGGGAAACGTGTCATGAGAAATAAACCTGCCATGCATTCAGTGCCTTTGTTTTTACATGAAGCATGGGTGTTTTCAAAGATTTTCCAGTGTTAAAGTTATTATTTCAAACCTGCTCCGGACCTGCTGATTCACTTCACCAAGTGCTAATTACATGTCAAATGGTAAACCACCACAGTTCCCACAGTAATGTTGTTGTTTGTCAGCGGTACTACAGTAATGATGTGGTAGCATGTAAACAGCTTCTAGTTTGTTTTTAACACTACGTGACTTCATGTATGTTCATTCACGTATAATCTCACCTGGACTTCCAAGAGTTTACTCCAGTTTGGCATGAGGAAGAAGAGGATACCATCTTTTGCTCCAGGCAACTGGACATTATTGATCAGTAATGCAAACAGTATGAAATAAGGGAATGTGGCAGTAAAGTACACAACCTATGGACAGAGTCGACAGGGGGATTTATATTTGTGATAAGGCAAAACTATATAATTTCTATATATAATAATAATAATATAGAAAATTATTTAATTTTATTAATTTTTTATATATATATTATTTGATTTCTGTCTTTTTTTGACAAATAAAATGAAATATACTGAGGGTTATTCACCTGAATAAATTTGATAAATATGGTTACTATTACAGTTAATATAGCCTTATTCTATACACTCAAACACATTGTTTATATTTTTATAAAGACACAATCCTTAACTATCTCTTTGTAGTTTCAATATGCTATTGTTTCCCATACTAAAGGCTTAATTTAGATATTCGAATGCATTGAATCTGTTAAGAAATGATGTGAGCTCTGAACTCAGACCTTTCCAGTGGATTTGACCCCTTTAAAGATACAGAAATAAACAATGGCCCAGGCCAGAACTAGAAGACCAAAGAGTTCCCAACGAATCCCTCCAGCATGCTCAATCCCTTTGGTCATTTCTAGCACCTTGTGACTGAAAAAAACCCAAAACAAAAACAAAACATTGAAACATCATTTTACAAAGCACAGTCACAAAACAGAGCACATCTCAGGATGTAATTAAATGAATATACACTTTAAAAAATATATTGTTAAAGACTCATTAAATGTTCATTGATGTCCATAATTTCATTGGAAATCCACAAATTCTACACACAATAAGAAAGCACTCTTTCCAATAACTTTTCCAAATGTTCCATTTACATTGAATATGAAAAGTCAACAATACAGAGTGATACACAACTATAATCAACCTCTGACAAAAAGTCAAGCATTCTCACCAAAAATGGCATAAACATTAAAGACAGTAAACAAATTAAATCTGTTACTCACTCAAAGAACTGTTGACTGGCCGATTGCAGATGTGTGGCATTGCCAGGAAAACCAGTGGAACAGTTGCCAACCGCATTCCATGTGTTGTTGCAGGATTGCCATGGCAATGAGGGGCTGAAGGAGTGAAGTAGGTAGTAGAGAGCCCAGGTCATGAGCACATTGTAGTAGGTGCAGAGCACATAAGAAATCACCACTGTGGCAAGACCCACACCTGAGGACAGACAAAGAAAAAGTGAGACACCAAAAGACACCACCGTTTTCTGCCACCTTGTCCAAGTTTATCCCTGCTGAACAGACTCACATTGGAACAGCACCTAGGGCTCTTCAGAGGCTCTGAAATGTTTAGCTTTTGTTTTAGAAGAAAAAGAATAAATCTGTTGACCTCCAGAAGTACTTTTTTAGGTTAATATACAAGTTCCAAAAGAACAAAGCAAATTTTTAAGACAGATGTTTTAGGTTTCTATCTGAAAACATTTCTGAATGTATGCTAAAGGAAAAAAAACCTTTTCATCAGTTTCCCATGACTCTTCGTTATCCTTTTTTTATTGAATATTTTTGGTGGTTGGCCAAAACAACCAGGGATAATGCAAGAGGTTCTAGGAGATTTGTATCAGAAAAGAGTTTTTTTTTTTTTTTAAGGATTGCATGAATTAATCCAGTAAGGCTGTGCAATGTTATGCTAAACATTAGATTTCAAATTTTAAAGATGCACAAGACTTAATTTCAAAAGATCTCAGGCACACTCAATATTGCTAAAAATGTCTTGTATACTTGTTACCTGTAATATATATATATATATACAGCTGTGGTCAAAATTTTACATACTCTGTAGTATCTGCAAAATGTTAATTATTTTACCAAAATAAGAGGGATCATACAAAATGCATGTTATTTTTTATTTAGTACTGACCTGAATAAGATATTTCATGTAAAAGACGTTTGCATATCGTCCACAAGAGAAAATAATACTTGACTTTATAAAAATGACCCCGTTCAAAAGTTTACATACACTTGATTCTTAATACTGTGTTGTTACCTGGATGATCCACAGCCGTTTATTTGTTTTGTGATGGTTGTTCATGAGTCCCTTGTTTGTCCTGAACAGTTAAACTGCCCGCTGTTCTTGAGAAAAATCCTTCAGGTCCCACAAATTCTTTGGTTTGCCTGCATCTTTTGCGTATTTGAACCCTTTCCAACAATGACTATGATTTTTAGATCCATCTTTTCACACTGAGTACAACTGAGGGACTTATACACAACTATTACAAAAAGTTCAAATGCTCACTGAGGACAGACAATTGGCCAAAGAGAAACAACCAACAATATTACTGTTTTAAGTCTAGCTTCATGATTTCTACAAGTCAAATGAATTTTAATGGTTTCATGCTGTTGGCAGACAGAATTACTGCACAAAACTGTTGCCAAGTTGTATGAGAGAATGTCATGCAACCTGTTAATATCTGCCTTTGGCTAGCTTTCACAAAGTGACTGATACAACAAAATATCATTGAGCTTATTTGAATGCGCTGGCTTTAACCTCAACAACAAAACCACTTGCTTACACAATAGTAGTTCAGTTTCTCAGTGATTTCAAGTATTAATTACATCCTGAGAAATAAGAAACAGGACTATTAGCAATCCACAGAATATGCCTTCGTCACAAAAGGATTCAATGGTCAGGGTTTAACTTAATACACTTCTCTTCTGTGCAGGCAGTGGCACATCATTGACATTCTGATATAATCACAACAGCGTTGCTTCCAGTGATTTTGATTCGTTACTGCCATACAGTAATCAGGGTTGAAATCTCACAGAAGCCTGGAGTGAAACAGAATTTGCTTTAGAAACTGAATATGAACATCAGGAAGATGTTTAAAAATTAACAGCCGCATAGTAAGAAAAAAAACATTTCTCAAAGACCAGTCCAGTCATCAGGGTTTTTAAAATAAGCTTTGGAGAAAGAAAATGTGCTATATAATCTATTCTTAGTGATCTATTTATGGTTTAGTTGCCAAATCAAACAGTTGAACAGTTCTGAATCCAATATAGATATGTGTGGGAAACCAATCTAATCATTCACTGTGACCCAAAACAACATGGTAGGAGGATGACAATGCAAAGATCACTGATTTGATTTTTTTTCCATGTTTTGATGCCCGCTTTAAATCCGTGGATTAGCTATCATCACTCTCTGTGGATCTTGGCATTATTTTGGGTCCCTTTCCCACCGTCTAAATGGAATGTTCATTTGTTGTTTCAGTCCTGAATAGCAGAAAGCTCTAAAAACAGGAATGTTGTTGTTGGCACGTTCCGTGGTGCCCTCCAAGGTCACCCAGATTCCCTCAGTGCCTTTTGGTCTCCTGAACTTAAGCCTATATGAGTCCACTGCTTCAGCGAAACTATAGACCAGAGGCATAATGGGATCATTGGATGCTCTACTGGAAATCCAGACTCAACCAGTCAATCCAAACGGTTTTGTTTTTGCATGACCATGGTTACTATCCACTGCAAATAACATTATTGTAAACTGTGTTGCTCAGAATTTTATTTCATAAACAGATCTGTTGAAGTTATTAAAAGGTTTGTATGCATTTCTAATTGAGAACAAGTTTGAACCTAAAATGGCATCACATATCATTAAAAGAGAAAACACTACTTGGCATGTAAATATTTATTATATTTCAATGAGTAAATAAACCCGATGTTACCATTATTTTCTTATGGAGAACAGCTGGGCCTCAAATAATTCTTTTGAGTTTCACATCTATAGATGTTTGCTTCAGATCAGCCAAATTAGTTCTACAACTACACTTTAAATTGTGTGAACAGACAGCAAGGCTGGATTTGCAGACAAAAACCAGATCTGCATTAAAGGATATTCAGTTGAATTAATTAAAAATGTATGGAAGAATTTTGTTTCTGTGACAAATACCATAACCTGCAGGTATTAGCCAGGGAGAAAAGCATTAGAGCTGACTGTCACACAGGTTTATCAAGATAGTTAGTTTTTTTCTGAGAAAAACCCATCTTTTGTATTTTCATCTGTTTGCTTGTGCAGGAAAGAACCCACAGAATTCATCTTCTCTAATGTACCACATGCAATTCTACCACCAGTTCCACATTTCGAGAATCACATTAGTGTTGTATGATTAAACATAATTGTATGCGCACTCTCTCTTTTTCCTGTTAAGTGCGCAAATATGTAATTCTAACATCTTGTTCCATTCTAGTCTTATACTGAGCTGAACGGTGCCATTTTGACCATGGTCATGCAAGTCATGCAACCCTGAAGTCAACACCTGGTGAAAGACTAACCCGTTAGGAAATGATTACCCCCAGAGACAGAAAAGTTACTTAGGTGTGAGGTTACTTTACTGAGCATATAGATAATGCAGGAGTAAAAGGAGGAGCTTTATTACAAAGGAGAGCCGCTGAATAGCCCATTACTCACTTTTTTTTTTTTGTTGGATTGTCAGAACACCACAAAGAATGTGACATAAGGGTACATTTCAGTCAAGAGAATATACAGAAAGAACTACCTGCTTCAGTCCCTCTGCTACCAAGGAGCCATAATCGGCCCTATATCAAGGGACGGACCCAAAAGATTTGACCGGGTAGACTATCTCTGTCTTTGAGGAAAGAAGTCCTTGTTAGCAGGTGAAAGAATGTCAAATAAATAAAAATATAAAGAAACCCAAATGACGAACAGTGATGGCTGAACTTCTTAATGTTGACACTCACTTTGGTTACAAATGGGTTGCCCTCAATATACATAAAAATGACTAATTTACACAAATTATTTCAAAACTTTTATTTTTATTTAATTGTGATTTATTTATTTTTGGTAACAATTATGCAGATAGTATTTTTTTTTTTAAATGTATCACATGGCAATAAAACATAACCTATAAACCTACAATAACCTATAAATAAACTAAAATATATTTATTTCTAAATATTCCAAACAAAATTATCAGTAATAACGATTTTTCACTTAAACGTGATCAGGATTCTAGAGGAAATGTTGTTGTTTGCACATTAACAACGCATGTTTTTATAAACATAGGAATTCAAATATGATAAAGTTGATTCAGGTACAGAAAACTGAGTAGTAATAAGATCAGCCATCACTAGATCATCAGAGATCAAGTGTAATATAGTTGCAGATCCACACATTTTATAGGAAAAAATCCAATGTAAAGGGGAGAAGACAAGCTCTGAGGTCAATATACATGCCATGTCAAAGCAAAGAGACGAGATTGTTCAGTTAAGCGAAATGATAATGCAGTTACAAAGAGTTGCAATGCTTAAAATATGTTACTGTAACACTGTTCAATAACTATGTGTGCAAAGAAGCAAACTTCCATGATATATGATGAGCATTCACTTTTGTTGATACAGTAAACAACAGAAAAAAGCAGGACATAAATAATCACTGATAAACAAAAACCAAGGTGCACAGCAGGCAAAGCCATCCAGTGGTTTTACAAGGAATATATAAAAATACATTAGATTAACATCTTTAAATAATTTATTTCTAAAACATATTCATTGAACTCATTTGATGTCAAATTATCATTGAACAGGTTTGAACAGTGTTGAACAGGAGGTTATTTGTGTGATTGAAATATTGGAATGTCCCATACAACATATACAATAAAAAGACTGCCCATTTTTTTTGGACTATGTTTTGAACACAGGAGATGTGAGGGATTGGGGCACACGGACCACTCACCTTTGAAAAGGGGACATATTTTAGCCAGAGCGTGGACCGGCCCCAGACGGGTGTACTGCCCAACAGTGAACTCCATGAACAGCAGTGGGATACCACAGAGAAACAACATGATGAAGTAGGGAATCAAGAAAGCACCTGGAACATGTGAAAGATTGGAAAATGAAACATGAGACAAGATTGCAATAACTGATTAAATGACTAAATATTCTTTAAATAAAACTGACACCATTATTAATAAAAAAATATTGTTTTACTTCAATGGCCACAAATGTATTTTTGTCTTCATAAATTTGACGGGGATACATCAAAAGAGTAGTCAAATAGTCTTGTCATTCCATTTTCTAACCCACAATTTGTTTTATTTTGCAGAGTCATTCTGTGAGGTTAAAACTATTTTCTTGCAAGTCATATTAAGGCAAATTTACCATGAAAAGAGGAAGTGTCTTTCAGGAGAACAAGATGATTTATTCACATGCTCTATATAGATAAAAAGGTCTTGCCACAAATCTATTCCCTCTGATTTATAAACTTTTTTTTTTTTTTTTAAATAAAATATCAAGAATCTTGGGTCATGAATGGTTTTACTTTCTATAAAAACAGGTGCAGAAAGCAAACATTCATCTGGACAATATGCATATACACTAAGCAAACAAAAACTATATGGAGCAATACAAACATGAAGCAGTGGGATGCAGGATTATCTGCTGTGAACCTTGTGACAACTGTCCTATGAAACATGTTTATCCTAAATATCACAGATCAGTTCTTACAGAAATTGAGTTTTATTGATTATTACTCTTGGGACAGTATATATTGCATCTCTTCAAACTTTTGAAAAAATGTAAATAATTTTGGCATGCATTTGGTACATATTTTTAACTTTTTTATACAAGTGAAAATACTGTAGGCTATATGGCATCTTGCCAACCCAATAATGAAATTTTATGGTTGATAAATATTCTTGGAATCAACAACCCCTTATGTTCTAACTGGTATGTTTTAAGTCAATAATTAACCATGGAAAAACGGTCAAAAGAACAACATAAAAAAACAATAGAAACAAAGTCTGGCGTGAGAAAACAAGAGACATATCCAAAAATGGCACAAACTCCTGGAGTTACTATTGTTACATCGTATAGTTACACAACTGCTGCAACCTTAGCTTCAAATAAATTACATAAATATAAATAAAATAGTTACACAACTGCTGCAACCTTAGCTTCAAATAAATTACATAAATATAGATAAAATAAACACAAAACAATGGTCATAAAAATACAGTTTGAAAATGTAGGTCATGAAAATAATTTATACAATTTTCTACAAACATTTACATTTTTTACGGTCTAACAAGGTGGTAAACCCTTAAGTAAAAATTATTAAGACTTTCATTAAAACCAGGGGCGGCGTTTCCGTATGGCAGTTGCCATGCCACAGTCGGGTGTGCCGTGGAAAATGATCCAAACTCAAGTGAAAGCGTTTAATGCGATGCACTTGCTGCCTCAGATATAGCCGTTCTAATGACAGACAAAACAGATCTCCGTCATTCGCTGGTCAAAAACCAACTCCATTTAATGTTAAGTGCAAGTGTCTGATAAAGCCACAATACCAACTCTGACGACGTTTATGAAACGTTATCCCTTTCTATATTTTTTTCTTATATTTCAGTGCTTAATGTTGTGCCGTTGGATTTTTTTATTTATCAAAACTGTGATATGTTTTCTAGGTGTTATGGTTTGTAGTTCTTATGTCACATGATAACAAAATGGATTCCTGCATGTTGGTTGGCCACACTGACTTATTTGGCAGATCAAAGTTTTATATATAGAGAGAGAGAGAGAGAGATCGGAATATGAAACCAAAAATTGTTGTCGTTTACAAAGGATTTCAACCAATTTATTTTTAGGGTCCCTGTTATATAAAAAAAAATGTACTTTTTTTCTTTTAGATATATTTTAATTTATGTAATATAATTTTTGGAGACTCAAAATACGCGTAGCAATGGTTAATATAGCCTACTGTAAAGCATAGTTAATATTCTGATATTCTGAAAACTATTATGGGGCCACATTTTGTAAGGGGTATCAATAAGATGAATATATAAGCGTGGTATCAGAGCGGCTCTGTGGTGATCATGCAGGAGTCGTTACTCACCTCCTCCGCTCCTGTAGCACAGGTACGGAAAGCGCCACACGTTTCCCAGACCCACAGCATAACCGATGGAGGCGAGCACGAACTCCAGACGCCGACCCCACATTTCTCTTGTCTCCGTTGACCGGTGATCAGCCTTTGCCAGCCTCATGGCTTCAGCATTGCCGGGTGTCATCTTGTCGAGCTCTACCCCCTCTTTTTCTTCAAACTGCTGCAATGTAAACTTACTAGATGTGCTCACGGTTTTGTTATCAGCTCCGACTACCATCATTACAAACGTTTCATACACACATACATTCACTTTTTAAAATAGCGATTTTAATATAGGCAAAGAAGGACGTAACAGTTTTTTTTAAACGAGTCAGCTTTAGACTGTTGCAATTTGCCGGTATAGCATTACCGAACGTCACTATCACCGCTGTATTAAAAGAGATGAATGGTGCCGAATATATTACCTAAACCTGTCGTTATAAAACAACGAGATACCGCATTGTCTTTAACGGTTCCAAACACATAATAGGCACAAGTTGTTGCTTATATAGCTCAGTTACACGATTTTTAAGATCAGCCCCCTATAGTTTCCCATGTTGTCACGACGATACTGGCCTCCTTCGGCTCCGCCCTTTTAGTGTTGTAGTTTGCTGTACAAGTCCGGTGCTCTTTGCTCACGTGCGAATTTCAAATCGAGTGAAATAACGCGCATGCACGTGTAGGGGTTTGTTCGCTTCATGCAGAATTAATGTAGCCTGTATTACCGACTAGAAACATTATATACTGGAGATGATAAAAGGTTTTATACGTGATAACGTTTGATTGATGTTGATAAGGGATGTTTGACTACACTGGACTGGACACCCAATAGAACATTTAGATTGGCCATATTGTAGACCAGTATGTCAGTAATTTAATTCAAATTCTGCTACTTAAAGGTTTAAGTTCACACACAACATCCTCTTCTTACATGTATCAAGTAAATGCATGGATTGTATTGCCGATTCATCATGAGTTTGCAGAAATGAGAGGGAGGAAGGCCAGTGCCATTAGCCAAATGATAGGGGAAAGGCGGGATTTTAAAAAAGTAAATCCACCCACAACTGCATTTGTTAAGTCATTCTTTTACTTTATGTATTTCCTCATCTTGTCCATTCAAACCTAACACAAACCCAACCACAAAACATTTATATTTACATTTCAAATTTGCACATATCATACCTGTACATACATAATTGTCTATATTATATATTGTGTTTTTGCTATTTTGTACATTGTCTATTTTGTATATTTGTATATTATTCTTTTTATTATCTGCGTCCTGTCTTGTCGCTGTTATTCTGTTGCACTGTGGAGCTTCTGTCACTAAAACTAATTCCTCGTATGTGTAAACATACCTGGCAATAAAGCTCATTCTGATTCTGATTCGGAAAAACCTCTGCTGCTCCTCTACTCATTTTGGCCATGCGACTGTATCTGTGACAGTAATATCCAAGGGTATGTACCAAAGTCCCTTTGGTATGTACTCACTTAATAGTCAAATACATTTTTAACTAATTTAAAATGCTAAACAAAAGTGAATAAAAACGTTTGCTTTCATTATTTTTAACAAATAAGCTTTTGATTATTTACAACATTTTATTAAAGGGGTCATATGATGCGATTTCAATTTTTCCTTTCTCTTTGGAGTGTTACAAGCTCTTGGTGC